TCTTTCCATCCTACCCCACATTTCAAAAATCTCCTTAATTTCTGAAGAAGGCACCTTCCTCCATCTCTCTTCCTCCTCCTCTGCAGCAAGATTCTGAGCTGCGATCTGTTGCTCTTCCTGCTGAAGCTCTTGCAGCTCCTCAGTGGTTAGCTCTTCGTTGTGGTCCTCCATCAACTCTTCCACATCCTCCAAACTCACATCCAACCCCATGGAACTCCCCAGTGCCACAATGGATTTAACAAATGACATAGGCTCATCAGGGTCAGCCCCAAACCCTTCAAAATCCCTCTTGTGGACACAATCTGGCCACAATTTTCTCCAAGCAGAGTTCAAAGTCCTGGTAGTCACTCCCTCCCAAGCCTTACCTATAAGGCTTACGCAATGGAGAATACTGAGGTGTTCTTTCCAAAAATCTCGTAGGGTCAAGCGAGTGTGAGGTCACATTCAAGCACCTTTCAAACATTGCTTTGGTGTAGAGTTTTTTAAAGTTTGCAATGACCTGCTGGTCCATGGGCTGGAGGAGAGGAGTGGTATTCGGGGGCAAGAACTTTACTGTGATGAACCCAAACTCCTTCAGAATTAGGTCATCCAAGTTTGGAGGATGAGCAGGTGCATTGTCCATTACTAGGAGGCACTTGAGATACAATTTCTTTTCCAGGAGGTAATTCTTCACACTAGGGCCAAACACTTCATTGAACCACTCTACAAAAATTTCCCTCGTGACCCATGCCTTACTATTAGATTTCCAAAACACAATTTACTCTTCATAACAGTTTTTCTTGAACACACTGGGATTTTCAGAATGGTACACTAGTAACGGCTTCACTTTGAAATCCCCACTAGCATTAGCACAGAACATTAGCGTCAGCCTGTCTTTCATAACTTGTGTCCTGGCAGCGCCTTTTCTTCCTGAGTAATGTAGGTCCTCTTTGGCATTTTCTTCCAAAAAGAGGCCTGTTTCATCACAATTGAACACTTGTTCAGGTTTCAGTCCTTCACTGTTTATGTACTCCTTGAATTCATGCACATATTTTTCAGCCGCCTTGTGGTCCGAACTGGCAGCCTCACCATGCCTTACCACACTGTGTATGCCAGTATGCTTCTTCAATCTCTCAAACCAGCCTTTGCTGACCTTAAATTCACTCACATCACTAGTTGCAGGCATTTTCTAACTGCCTAGCCTTTTCACATATAAGCGACGTCATAAGACTATCTCCTGCTAATTGTTTCTTATTTATCCACACCAATAATAACTTCTCAACATCTTCAAGTACTGGTGTTCTCATTTTTGTCAGCATATTTACCCCCTTTGCAACAACAGCGTCCTTGATTTCCTTTTTCTTGGCTATGATGGAAGATATGGTTGTACGGGATTTGTTATACATCCTGGCCAGTTCGCCTACACGTACGCCACTATCACATTATTCAATGATGTTTTTCTTGAATTCAATCGTATTTCTCACCTTTACCAAAGGCTTGGCACTAGGAGCTTTCTTTGGAGCCATGGTAGCTTATTTAGCACTTAACCCTTTGACTGTCGCAACCCCCAATCCTGAGGTGTCTCCTGGTGTTGCAAAATTTAAAAAAAAAAAAAAAAAATTTTTTATGAAATGATAGAGAATCTTTTTCCGATTGTAAAGACACAAAAAAAAAAACGAAATTTGATGGAAAACTGACGGAATTACGCTCTCGCGAAGTTAGCGACCTCGGCGATATTTACAAATCGGCGATTTCGCCCACTTTGAGCCCCATTTTCGGCTAATTCCATTATTCCAGTCGACCAAACTCATAGCTATTTCTTCAGAACTCCATTTTTTCCATCGATTGAGTACAAGAAACTGCCCATTTACCGATTTCAACTACCCAATAACATGGTCAGAAATTTGCAATTTGGCCAATTTCACGAAAATTAAAAAATGACAATTTCAAAATAAGGACCAGAATGAACAATGCAGACATTCCTGGCTCTAAAATAACATTTTCTTTGTTCATCAGTCATGTCTCCAGGCCCCTGTGATATTACTCTTGCTTTTTATTTTGAAATTTTATTCAAACAAAAAATAGAAGATTTACTGTTATGCAGACTACTGCAATACTGTAATAATTGTAAAAATTACATCAACCCATTCATGACTGCATATTAGAATGGCTATTTGGACATTTATTGGACAATGACATCACTTGTTTACTTTTGAACATTGGCAAAAATCAAACATTTCCCGTACTTTGTGCTCCATTTCCAGGTTCTTTTTATAGTAAAATTAATCAAAATCACCTCTATTTCTATAATATAGTTTCCATTCTATCAAATGAGACCAAGAAAACGAGAATACAACCACAAATACTATACGAAAATAAACCACAAAGTCGGCATTTTAATTAAAAAAAAAAAAAAAAAAAAAAAGGTCGGAGTTTTTTTTTCTCATGCACTGCATGCTCCAGGATTTTTTTATATGGTGCACACTGACCACACAGACCCATTCTCTCACATGTGGGCCTACCAGCTTTCTCCTGCTTGATTGGAAGCCGCTAGAATTTATGAGTATACGTATATACGTCAAACACGGTACCTCGTAAACGTATATATACGGCTGCGACAGTCAAAGGGTTAAATAACTTGCAAGCACTAAAATAAATGGAATATTATGAAATATTTCGCTGGAGCACATGAGGGGACCGTCGCTCACTGGTAAACAATGGCACACTGGCTGGGAAGGAAAGGCCGAGGCGGCTCGAGGCGGCTTAGAGCGTGAGTACGCATCCGGGACGAAGGACTATTAGCGAGTTACCGGACCATTTGCAAGCCAATATTTTGACGAAAAAACAGGACTATTTCCGAAATGGACGACTTTCAGGCCTGACGATTATTGAGGGGCCGCTGTACCTACAATGTTTATTTTTGACTTTTAAATTGGAATTTATTGAATTGTGTAAAACTGGCCATATTAACAATTTGTACACTTTATAGGGAGGCTGACAGTGGAAAGGGCAGTTTGTGCTCAATTAACAGAATGGACAATTCCTAGATACGTATTTCACTAGGAACTGCATCGAACTGAGCAATGAAGTTTGCTTAAAAATAAGACTGGTGGGAAAAATTGCCAATGCATAAACTGCACCAAAACCACCAACCTTGCACCTGCATAATTCCACAAGTTTTCTATCATTTCACATTTTTGCCTTCAGAAAGATTCTCCACCATTTCAGAAAAAAAAAACAATTTTGAAAAATTGCAATACTCAGCCATTTCAGGGGTCACAACAGTATCAGGATTAAAGGATAAAAACTACTGGCCCATTATTTGGCACCAACATGGCAGCCTGGGTAACTGGGGATCTGTTTGAATGGTTTAAGCATTATTTTATTCCTGCATTTAAAATGTACCTGGCCACAAAACCTAGCATTCAAGATTCTCCTGACAATTTCCCTAGTTATCGTATGTTGCATTCTATGAATCCAAATGTTGAGGTTGTCTCTTTACTACTATCATCTTCGATAGTCACTGGAAAACTTGTCAGACTGGAGTCAAGATAGTTCTGGCATAACTAACCCTTTAAGGGCCAAGACTCCTGCTCAAAAACTTGTTCCCAGGGCCAAACAATGAAAAAAAAAGTTATGAAATTATAGAGAATCATTTTGATATACCTTTGAAGAGTTTCACTCCTCTCAGAGCCTGGCCATGGGCCAGACTAGTCTGGTGCTTGCCTGGTCAACCAGGCTGTTGGAGGCCCACTGCCCAACAAAAAATAGAAGGTTTACTGTTGTTCAGACTACTACATATGGGAATATAGTTGTATAAATAATGTCAGTGCATTCGTGAGTGCATATTAGATTTGCCAGTTGACTTATTTGATGCATGTAATTTATTTACTCTTGAACATTGGTAAAACCGAACATTTCTGCTACTTTGAACTCAATTTCAAGCTACTTTTAGTCTGTAAACCATTCAAATTCATTTTTCTATAATATATCTTCCATTCTATCAAACGAGACCAAGAAACCAAGAATACAACCATAAAAACCATACAAAAATACACCAAAAGTCACCATTTTACACCAAGAACACAGTCGCAGTTTCTCATTATGCACTGCATTCTGCAGGATTTTTCTTTATATTCCACATACTGACCATGCAGACCCATTATCTTGTATGTAGGCCTATCAGCTTTCTCCTGCAAGATATGAAGCCGCTAGAATTTGGGTGTAGTTTTAAGAGACCGACGCTGGCTGAAAAGCCGTAATTTTACGGGACTGACCTCGAAAGGGTTAATGTTTAAATGGCAAATATGTGTTACCCCCTCCCCTCATTACACCAGTCAGTGAAATTATGACTCTGCATGGGCAGACCAGAAGGCATTCCAAGATGCACACAAACTTGTTAAACAAAACGGCTGTAGAATCAATGCTGGAGGACCTATTCTCAGGAGAGGCAGATAAGACAGGATAAACTATGATACAAACGGTTAACAGTGCAGGAGTTATGCAAGAAATTGTTATTGTTAACTTGCCTAACTTTAATTGGATAGGACACATCTACAAGAATTACTGTATTTGTGAAGTTTACAGAGCACCGACTGCTAGAATCTGCTGTAAAAGCAGATCTGGATCAGATGGTAATGACCTACAGGCACCTATGCAAGTGTTGCAGGAAAAAAAGCAAAAGAGCATTACAGAATTGAGCACAACCATTGGCTACTAGCACCCCTGCATCCACAAGCAAGAACCATAGCCAGCTACCCCTATCCCAGTAGGGCCACAACCTTTACACATTTCAAAGTCAACAAGCAATATCTACAATGCAAGAAAAGATAATCATGTTGTCACAATCTAAAAAGAAAATCTTTCAGCCTCAGGAACTAACCCTAGTTTCACACGTGTCTTTCAGATTACTTAGTGCTAAATTTTATTACAATGATTTTCATTAATGTAATTCATACTCTGATAGTTTACTATTTACATACAGAAAAAAGAAATCCAGAAAGCATAAAACTACAACTTACTTTTGGAGGTTTGAAAGGATAATCAGTGGGAAAGTGAATAGTGAGGAAAAATACTCCTCCTTGGAATGGACTCTCTGGTGGGCCCATGATTGTGGCTTGCCAATGGAATAAATCATCACCTACTGGACCTGCTGAGCACTGTGCTGGTGGATCCCGCCCCAGGTCCTGCAGCTCCTGTAATATCAAATAGGAATTTTAATTAAAATAGCATTTATTATTAGTACTTTGTTCAGAAACATTGCTAAAACACATTACCCATGACTAGCTCAATGCCATACAAAATTTGTACAAATGAACTGGTCAAATACTGTATGACATTATAGTATCTTTTTCATTGAGGGTCCAAGAATTTAAAAATAAAAAAATTATGAAATGGTAGAGATTCTTTCTGAAGGTAATAAAACAAAAAGTACAAAATTTGATGAAAAATTTATGAAATTATGCTATCATGAATTTTACTGTCAGCGATATTTACACACCACCGATTTTGCCCACCGACTCCTATTTTAGGCCAATTACATTATTCCAGTCGACCAAATTCTCAGCTATTTCACTAGTATTACTTTACTTTATTGGCTGAGCACAAGAAACTGCCCAATCAACTATTTCAACTACCCAATAGTGATCAGAAATTGATTATTTGGCCAATTTCACAAAGTTCAAAATATTCCAATTTCAAAACAGATTCCAGAATAAACAATGCAGGCATTCCTGGCACTAAAATAACATTTCCTCTGTTTATTAGTTACATTTCCAGGCTTTACAAATGAATTCCAATTTGATTTTTTATTTATATAAAGAATTTTTTTCCACACCAAAAACTAGAAGATTTACCGTTATGCAATATTGTAATAATTGTATAAATAACATCAGTGCATTCGTGAACATATATTAGACCCACCAGTTGATGAGTATTGGACGCATCATGTCATTTGTTTACTCTTGAACATTGGCAAAAATCAAATATTTCTGCTACTTTGAGTTCAATTTCAAGCTATTTTCATTACTAAAGCCAGTCAAAATCATCTCTATTTCTGTAATATATCTTCCATTCTATCAAACGATATGAAGAAACCACAAATACAACCATAAAAACCATGCAAAAATACACTGCAAAATCAGTGGTTTAATCCAAAAACTTTTATGCACTGCATGCTGCAGGATTTTTTTATATGGTGCACACTTACTATAGATGCATTCTCTCATATCTAGGCCCAAATTTATCACTCAAAGCTTACCTAAGTGAGCTGAGCTCATGACGTAGATCTATGGCACGGACCCTCAACATTAGCAAAAAATTTGTAAGCACATCTGCATTATCAACAACCAGGGCTCAAGACAACTTAATTTACAAATTACACTATTTTACACTTAAAAATTTCCACATTTGTGCTGTAGTTTAAAAGCCAATTATAAAAATTTATAAACAGTTTTTAAATTAAAAAAAAAAAAAAAGTCAAATAAACATCCTTTGCAATTTGTCATTACTGTACTAAAATACAGTAAAATTAAGAGTTCAGTAAAACACTTATTGCAATTATGTTAAGCTCTTTTAATCAGACAAATTTCATGTTACGTTGCAATAAATGGAGAGAAAAAAAGTCAATAGAATTTACAGACTTTCTTGCAGATCCTACCCAAACCCCCACATCACCAGTACAAATTCAGTTTTAAGTCCAGACTCAAATTTCATAGAAACAAACAACTTATAAAATATAGGAAAGGAAGGGATGCCTAGACAGCAAGGCCTTTGACACATTGATCCAGACTTACACTACCTGGAGATGTAGGCCAAGATGACAAGAAGGATGCTTTCATGGATTAGGGAATATCTTTAAAGACAGAAGAGACCACGAGGAATGAAGGGTAAACTCAACTAGTAGTCTCAAAGGATTAGTCCTAGGGCCTATACCTTATCAACTCATGAGCATATGAATGACTGATCAGTGGGAACTGTTTCCTCACATCTGTCTGGATAATGCAGAAGTAATAAAGGACAAACAAGACTGCAAAATATTGCAGAAGGACCTGAGCCAGGCTGCACAATGATGAAGCAAGAGTACTGGAATACAACCTCAGTAAAGTGCATAAAAGCCTGGATGATAAAGGTGGCAACTCCATGTTAACAGGCAAAGAAGCTGACAACAGAACACACAGCATATACAAAGCTAGGAAAAGATAAGCATTAAGAAAACACTTAAAACTTCACAGTATGTGCACTACAATAGTGAACACTCCAAGCTGGGGTTATGGTGCCCACCTAGAAAAAAAAAAACTACAAAATGGTTGGTTACAAAAAGTTATGACAAAAGGGTGAGGAGAGATATCTATGGTGCCTGAAAGGAGGAAGAGAACCACAAATAAGACCATAAAGAACATGAAAGATTATTTTAAAGAACATCCTAGTACCTGCAACTGGAACAGACCCCAGTCATAGAGGAAAAGTGCAAGAAATAGGTAAGAAAATTCCCCTGCAAATAGGGACAAGATCAATGAACTGAAATAAAATGGAAAGTTTATTATAAGTGGCTACAACCAAAAGTGAAGTGGGTGTAATAAACATAAGAATGGCCAGGGACTACCTGTGGTCCATGCAGTAAAAAGGCATTACCACTTAGCCACACAGCTTACAATAGGATAATTTAACAACTAGCACCAACTGTGACCCCGCTGTCAAATCCCACAGCCCCCGGTTTTCTTGTAGGGGTGTGCCAAAGTACTGGCAGGTATTGGCCCAAAAGAGCATCACAGTATTGGTTAATTTTGAGGGCATCTGCAACTCTAAAATTTAGTATCTGTATTGTCAAAAATTTCGGTACCTTCCCAGCATAATTTTCATGATGCATCTAGTCTCGTATCCCTCAAGGTTATGCAAGTCATATTGCTGTTAATAGACTACTGGATGGTGACTAATCATGGTTAGTGCCACTGATACAACTATACAACATCCATGAATGGGACCCATGATGTCACTAAGACTAACCACTATTGAGCCAGCTCATTAAAGCAGCCTTTACCCCAACATCTTCCTGGGACACCAACTTGGCCTGGCCTAGCACAGCAGAACTACACATCCATGTATCAAGTGGAGAAGAGCTAATTACTCTTGGATCGGTTGGGCAACACTGAACAAAAGCATACTATGTCAGGGCAAACAGAACATACTGTAATCGGTACAAAGAGCTCTGATCCAACTACGTCAGTTATTAGGACAAGTGATGAGTACCACAGAGCTATGCAATGCACACAAGACTGTGCAGGAAGCACACCAGTACCAAGGTAAGACAATGAATGGTTGCCTGAAAGCAATTCTGGGTTCCAAGAGGGTTCATTATAACACTGGAGTAGGTAGTGTCATGGTCATTTGGATCCAGGAGAGAGAGCCTGTTTTACTAAATCAATAAATTGAGGGAAGGGGGGCAGCAGTACCTTGGCTAAACAAAAAGAAACCAAGTAATCACTGAACCACAGTCACCTCCGCTGTGACAGGTCATTATGTCCCCTGAAACTACCTCTTACTTTTACCTAGAGCACAACACTAGGATGGCACCTTCAAAAAACGATAGCTAGACTTAGCAAAACTGCCCATTAGATAAAAGTAACTGAAATTGTCCTAGCGCTAATAATGGTGGCGGAGGGCTAAGCTGGCAACAATGCCTGGAGTCCCACCTTCAGTTTCTACTACCAGCTCCACAGGCAACCTCCAGTAGTGCTTACATCAGAGAGCAAGCCAGAGACCACCCAGTGTCTTGCCGGAGGGTCATCTGACATACCCTAAAAAAATTTACATCAGGTAGTGACCCAACCACCACAGCACTTCCTACAGAAGCTACATTAGAATATGGTCAACAGCTGTTTCCTTCTGTCTAGAAGATGAAGTGTTCAAATGGGGACATATCAGAGCCCAAAAGTGGGGGGGGGGGTGTATTTAGATTCACTCTAAAGAGAATAAAGAGCCCCTTTGTGACAAAACATGCCTTAAGGAGTCTTCTCATGAAGTAGTGACCTCAACAATTCTCTTGCTAAACATCCTCCCTAGCAGGCCATGAAGCACACAACAAACATTTGGCACACTACAGTATCAATTGTTAAAAGCTACCTGAACCTGTTAGAAATTAAATACTTCTCCCCACACAGCTGTATACAGCAAACAATCTTTTTAGGACATTTTGCTCCATGTAAAGTAAGTATTATCACTACATAACACAGGGTCAATGAAAGCATGATCTGCATGTCTTCAGTACTGTTGCCAGCAGGTCTTTGTAGCCACCAATCTAAAGAAATGGAATTTGAAGACAATGAAGAGGATAAATTATTAACGAACTACAGTAAACCTTCCATTTAATGGACCTCCGTAAAACAGACATCAAAAACATGGAATAAAATCTGCTGGGTCAATAGATTTGGAAACTCTGGATAGTACTTTGGTCATACAATTGTTTATTGTTGTTACAATCACAGCAAAACAATCTTTTATCCACAATTGCTACTGCTGGGCATCTGCTCCCCCCCCCCCCATTAGACCACTATATAGAAGGTTTACTGTATTCATACAATTAACTTCTAAGATGAAGGATGCACCACACTAAACACTAAACATTACAGCCTTTATCTTAGGCAGGTTAAGATAAATTATGCTATGAATAGAAACAGAGTGCATGTTAACCAGTTAGAGATGCCAGGAATATTGGCAGAGCAGGGCACTGACATCAGGCTCACCAAGCATGTGCCAAAAGAACTTTAGATTCTTTGCATTGCCTTTATCTGTGAGAGTCATTATTACATTGACCTTTCATTTTAAATTGTGGTAACCATTAATGTACCCTACAAATGGGATTGAAAATACTGCTAAATACTTAAATATTTTCAATCATTACAGTTCAATTCTCATGATTTGAAAGTCTGAATGATACATATTAGATCTTCTAGCACATTCATTAAAGTTCTAACAACTTAAGCTTTTTCAGTTTCACATTTACATTTATTACAGAGCAGGATTCTCAATCTTGAGTGCCAACACCTATGAACAGATTGCTGTTATCTAAAATTAGGATTTAACATTTCTTTTCTCCCCTTAACATACAATTACCTATTTGTGATTAGGGTATCAAGGTTAATTTGGGTAGCAGAACCAGGTTCATGGTGTCTGTTTTTAGTATTTAGTCTAAGTTCTT